CAGGCTGTAAAGCAAAGGGTGAAGGCTTTGGAGGTGAGGTTATTTATCATTATTGCATATACCACTCCATCGCTACTTTTGCTACATATAACCCTAGTGAGATGCATATTGTTGTTAGGGAGGCGGCCAGGACTTGAAGAAAATCCATGCAGTTTACTCAACAGAAGTAAGGACCTGTGAGTGACTGAATGTATAGGGCATCTTTTCAGAAGCCCACTCGAGGGTTGTTGCCATTGAAGGAATTTCAGGAGGAGAATCCTGAGGACTTCCAAACCTTGGAGAAATTCAGAGTAAGGTACGGGGGATCACTCGTCGTTCGTCAACGTGGTGATGGTATAAGTGTGGGCAGAATTGACCCTCGCACACGAATTGCTAGGGTTTAGAAAATTGTTAAAATTGTATTCTTTCTAGTGGAATTGGTTAGGTGGATGGGTTTTCATGCTGCCGACCCAGGTTCGAATCCTGCCCGTGATAGCTCCTTTACCCGCCATCTACGGCAACGCTATAGCGGCTCATGTACTCACCGAACTGGCCGGCCAACCCATGTCCCCTGCAGCGATGGAGGCAGTCGGGCCCAAACAGTACGTGTCACCAACGGGAGTGTCATCGCCCGTAATCGTCTCGAATGCTTACATTGGGTTCGTGATGGCCAACTACGGAGTGTTGTTGGCAGTATGAAAATTCTGAGAAAATTTCGGAGGAATTCTTATTGGTTTCTTCGCACTTCGTATATAATCTCGTGAGGAAACTCCTAAGCTGAGCTGAGAAAAACAAACATGAATTTCTCCAACATTGGTGTCTCGGCGAACTGCAACCTTTCTATGGCTACTGTTTTCATATGTTCCTGTTAATGCAAGATACCGTAAAATGCAGGAGAAAATCCGGAAATCGATCGGCCCGGAGTGTCCCCATAGACTTCTGGACGATTACGTAACCATCAAGGAAGCCAATCGAATCTACGCCGACGTATGTGGTGGCAAGAGTGTTGTTTCTGGTGAGCATTCTTGCTATCTTGCAACTCCTCAACGCTATGGCGCCCCTCAGGGCAAGTGGGTGGTATGGTCCTTGTGTGGTGGAAGTGGGACGAGGCCGTCGCGCCGCTGGACAGGCCCACTAGTGGCAACATACTTGTGATGACTGGTACGTATCGTACAGTGTGGGAGAATATGCACATGGGCAACTGCATGTCGTACTTTTTTTCGTGGAAACAGAATCATATACGTTTTGCATGGTGTATTAGACGTGTATGAATTTGTTCCCATACAAGGCTCCTGTGTTGGTGACAAGATGAGAAAATTTTGGAGAATTCTTATTGGTT